CTAGATACAATTAACTCAGGATTGAATAAGGACTGGGAATGGCTGAGCCATTACAAACATTGAATCTATCTCCCCTTGTAAGTATTCTCACACTTCTTATCAAACTGTTTGTACTGGGCTATCTTGATTATCACTTCAAAAGTTTTTTTCTCTTACTTAATTGGCCTCTCAGAGTTGGTAAGACAACTCCCACCTGTTCATGCTCTCTTTATGTGTGTATATATATCTCCTCAATATATGATCCACTCTATATGCATCCGAGGAAGTGGGCTGTAGTCCACGAAAGCTTATGCTCTAATAAATTTGTTAGTCTTTAAGGTGCCACAAGTACTCCTGTTCTTTTTGCGGATACAGACTAACACGGCTGCTACTCTGAAATCTCTCTGTCTTGTGGTGATCCTGAGCTCCACAGAAAAAATCTCTCTCTAACGGGCATCATTTCAGAAAAATTCAGTGGAGGAGAGAGGAGGAGTTGTGTCAGCATACAGGACATTATGTGTGCTCATATTATATCCTGCAAAGTTTGGGTAAGGCAAAAAGTGGAGCATATAGATGGGATTGTGGTTGGCGGCAACAGTCCCCAGAGAAGATGAGTAGGGGGCCATGTGTGGTTAAGTGTTCCCCCACCCCCGATTGGCCTGTGAGGTTGGGGAGGGAGAGGGGCTCTGTCCTCCCGCTGCACCTGTCCCCCGGCATGCTCGGCCCCTATCCCTGGCAGCCGGGCCTGGGCGGGGAATGGAGGGGGCGGGACCAGCCGTTTCTCGTGCTGGCCGCTCTGGGTCGCGGCTCAGTGCAGCACAACAGCTGCCTGCAAGAACCTCGCTGGGAGCAGCAGGCCGCTCCCTGCCTGGGCCCGGCTGCCAGGGACAGGGGCTGAGTGAGTCAGAGTCCCCTCTCCCCCCAAGTATGTTTCTGGCTCACTCGGCCCCTGTCCTTGGGAGTGGGCCGTTGCCAGGCTCTCTCAGGCAGCTGCTGCGCTGCACAGAGCAGTGACCCGGAGCAGCCTGCTTCAAACTCATGAGAAACGGCTCCATCCCGCTCCCCACCCGGCTGCCAGGGAGAGTGGCCAAATGTGCTGGGGGGTGGGGAGGAGGCGCAGCAGGAGAAGGGCAGAACTCGTCCCCCGTAGGTAATGTGGAGTGGGGACAGTACGGCAGCGGGCTGGGTGCAGGGCAGGGAGGTCTCTGGGCAGAGGAGACACGTGGGGTGATCATGTGTCCTCCCCTTTAGATTGTGTCCCCCCAGTATGGGGGGAAACGAGTCGTCTATGACTGACCCCCTGACTTCTAGCTAGGCAATTCTAAGTATGTGCATGGCTGTGATGCCATTGGAAGATTTTATAAAGTCTGCCCAAATGGCTTCTAAGCTGGTCAGAAAACAGAATTTCTGTCCAGTGGGAAATTCCAATGTGTTGCACGGTGTGTGTGGTGGGGGGGGGAATCATCCCGAATCAGAACAAACAGTTGAAAGCTCAAAATATTTTGTGGAATGGAAATTTCAAACTCTTTCAATTTGGAAACATTGCAATGACCTTATCAAAAGTTTTCATTTTGATAACATTGAAACATTACACTATTAAATATAATATATGCGTGTGTAATTTAAATAAGTATAATAACATTAAAGTTTTTAAAAAAAATTAAATTAAAAGTCTAAATGAAATGAGAGTTAGAGCTGAACTAAACAAGAATGTCAAAATGAAATGAAACAACAAAGTCAAAATAAAATACTGCATTCTGATTTTGAAGGTTTCAAATGTTTTCTGGTCAAAATGTCAATAAAAATTGACATGTTCCCTCAAAAAAAAATTGATGTTGATGAAACATCATTTTCCAATAAAAAGCTGTTCAGCCGAAAAAGTTTCATCAGATCTACTTCCAACCTATACAGCAGTGGTTTTCAACCTTTTTTTCATTTGCGGACCCCCCTAAAAATTTTCTGATGGAGATGTGGACCCTTTGGAAATCTTAGATATAGTTTGCGGACCCCCAAGGGTCTGCAGACCCCAGGTTGAAAACCACTGTTCTATGATAATGACAACCTATTGTGGACCCTCTAGACATAGTCTGTAGACTCCGCGGGGTCTGCAGACCACAGGCTGAAAACCACTGCTGTACTGGAAAAGGAAGCAGTTTCAAAGCATGGTTTGTAAGATCAGTGGGAAGGGGAGCCTTGTATTCTTCTCAGCATTAATAACAATAGACTTAAAAATAAAGTATGGAAATTATAATAGAAAAGCTCAGATAATGGTATAAATTTAAATGGTCAAAAGTCAGGAAATGCAAAAATGAAGGTTAAATATTCAACCTGAAGTCTGCTTTCTTTTGCTTATACATTACAACACAATCTTCAGTTATATGGTAATATCCCATTTCTCCAATAATACATTACTTATTCATACAATCTACAAGCTTATTACCTTGATTCTGGCTTGTTCTATAAACTTCAGAGGAGCTTTCCCAAACTGAAATGCAGCTCCAAACCAAGGGATCCAGCCGCGGATACAAGGTGGGGAATTTGGATTTCTTGGCTGAAACAAAAAATACATGATAATAATAAGTCCAAGGACTAAAGACAAGACAACAGTAACATCTGTGTCCATTTCCTCCCCAACACCAATGACTGATGATGTAGAGAAATGTTGCTCTTGATTCCAAACTGGCTTCTGCTGCTGCTTCTGAGGCTCCCTTATTGATGTACTGTAGTATTTATATAGCGTACGTGGGTGTATATAGGGCTGTACACAGGGTAGATGTGCTGAATGTATCTGAACTGAGGAACTGTTTTGAATAAGATACATGAAAAATGGGGTGTGGCTGTTACTTAGCATGTGTGGTGGAGTGGGTGGGTCTGTGAAAAATGTTTATAGTGTAAAAGAGGAGGGTTGGTTGATCATTAATTCAGAAATTCTTCCCATTGTAATTTATGGGTTAGAAGAAGACATAATACTAGGTGTGGATGCAGGACAGATATAGCCTGATCCAAAGTCCATTGATGTCAATGGAGAGATTCCCTTTGAGTTCCATGGGCCTTAGATCAGGTCCAACGGGAGAAGCTAATGGTAGTATGGGTGTAGAAGGAAAAATGTGCGGGTATGTAAGGAATTTTGTAGTCTGGGCTATGACGATGAAGAGCTTGGATTTGATGCAGAAGCTGGCGAAGTAAGCTAGAACAAATAGAGGAAGGATGGCCAGTGGTTAGACTGCCAGCCTAGGAATTCGAAGAACCAGGTTCCGTTCCCAGCCCTCTTACAGACTTCCTCTATGACCTTAGGAAAGTTACTCCATCTCTTTATGCCTCAATTGTAGCACGGGAATAATAGCATTTCCCCACCTCACTGGGACACTGTGAAGGTAAATGTATTAAAAATGGTGAGGTACTAAGATTCAATGGTGATGGAAGCCAAATAAGTATCATAAAGAAATAAGGTCAGAATGACAGGAGAGGAAGATGATTGTATCAACCCCATTTTGGATAGACTAGACTGAGGAGTAGAGAGAGGAGGTTATAGCTGTCAATATGAGAAATGAACAGGGATAGAGAATAAAGGACAAAGTTTAGATTCATAGATTTTTTTAAGGCTAGAAGGAACTATTAGATCATCTAATCTGATTTTCTGTATATTACAGGCCATAAAATTTCACCTTGTTACCTGTACTGAGCCCTGTATTTAGAGATGTTGATGATGACATTGGCAGCAGGGAGTATAAATTAGATAAGAATTTGGCACTATGTGTTTATCACTCTGAGGTGCTTTGGGTTGAGGAGTTTAGTTTTTTGTCTGTACAGAAGAGAGAAAAATGTCCTTTAGCAAATCTCAGCAAACAAGGTGTCAAGTTAACTTTAATGGGATTGTTATTCAGGTAAGTGGATGCATCTTCAACAGGACAGCAGAGGAGAATCAAAATGAACTCTTACAAGTACATCAAAATACTGTACACAGAGCAACACTCGAGGCGAAGAGTCATGATTACACTCTACAATAAAACATTGCAAAATACATCACAGCATCCCTTTGAGACGACTAACCTTTTGCTAGTTTTGTTTGGCATTGCAATGGGATTCAGCTCTCTCTGAAGTCATTTACAAACTCCCAGTGAGTTCAGTGGCTGAAGGATTGGGCCAGAATTTTTAAAACAAATTCCTTTAGTGTACACCCCTTTGAGCAGCAAAAATGTAATATTCACATTATGGCTTTTAACACTTTTTTGATCTATGTAAAGCAAGAGGTTTTGCAGAATATACATAGAATGTCAAGAATAGAAGGGACCTCAGGAGGTCATCTTCTCCAAAGCAGGACCAATCCCCAGACAGATTTTTGCCCCAGATCCCTACCTGGCCCCCTCAAGGATTGAACTCACAATCCTGGAGTTGGTAGGTCAATGCTCAAACCACTAAGCTGTCCCTCTGCCCTAAAGCCACCACTGTAGCAAACACTTAGGGCTTGTCTATACTTACGCGCTGGTTCGGCGGCAGGCAATCGAACTTCTGGGTTCGATTTATCGCGTCTTGTCTGGACGCGATAAATCAAACTCAGAAGTGCTCCCCGTCGACTCCGGTAATCCTGCTGGCCGCGAGGAGTACGCGGAGTCGACGGGGGAGCCTGCCTGCCGGGTCTGGACCGCGGTAAGTTCGAACTAAGGTACGTCGACTTCAACTACGTTATTCACGTAGCTGAAGTTGCGTACCTTAGTTCGATTTGGGGGTTTAGTGTAGACCAAGCCTAACACATGTGAGTCAAGTATCCGAGGGGTAGCCGTGTTAGTCTGAATCTGTAAAAAGCAACAGAGGGTCCTGTGGCACCTTTGAGACTAACAGAAGTATTGGGAGCATAAGCTTTCGTGGGTAAGAACCTCACTTGCATCTGAAGAAGTGAGGTTCTTACCCATG